GTGGGAGAAATTGCAGGGGTAGTATAAAAAAAAACATTTTTTTAAATCGATTCAACCAAAACTTTCGTGACCCCCATGCAGTACATCCGTGGACCCCCTAGGGACCCCCTGTTGAAGACCTTCGCCATAGGGTTTTAGGAGCAATTTCTGCCAGAAATTTCATATCTGGTATAAATCGAGTACAGCTCAAAAGATATTAGCATTTGTGTGACAGAAAGGCATTAAAGAATAGTTTTTCAAGTGGAACCACACTTTTAAATGTCGTCATGTCAGATTTATAAATGATGAATGAACTGAAATAAAATAAAACATTTTGAGCCTCACCAAATGTTTTTTGTTATTCTTTAAATAAAAAAATTGCAAAATACCATGAAAACCCCATTGGAACTTTTGATGAAGCCTCAGACTATCTATTTTTACAATTGTAGGGCTCCTTGTACATATACTGTAACAAAGTTTTTGTTCCCATTGGGAAAAAGAAAATATAAATAAAATTAAGAGAAAATTAGCTGAATTGTGTCTTTTTGTCCAAAACAACTTTAAAAAAAAAAAAAAAAAAGTTCAACTAAAAACTATTTTTATTTTAAAGTATTCCAGTAAACCCTCATCAGACAAATCAATGACTAAGGACATTGCTGTACCTTACTGGGACAGAACCAAACCCCCATCTGTACCATACTGGTCTCTTCATATTTAATGAATCATTGCATTAAAATGAAAAATTTCCGCTGTACCTGATACCTTGATGTTTCTGACACTTTCACGTCCAGGGAACCAGACAGGACAGCATACCAGCTCGTGCCAATGTCTCCCTGGCGAAATACTGAAAAGTAAACATGAATTAATCAAAGTATTTAAGATCAGTAAAATTTTTAATGAGCTATTCAGTGTTTGATCTATTCTATTTTGACCTTACGAGTGATCCCTTTCACCAAGCGCTCATAGAACCCACACAAACAAATCTGCTGCAGCAGACGGGGGTGGAATCGTTCAAAAGCTTTCACATTTCTCAGACGTTCCATGATGATGTCGACATCTTCACCCGAGCGTTCTGCTGGTCTGGAAGAATATGGAGAACCATTAAAAACAACAAGAACAACAAGAAAAAAGTCAAGTAAAAGCTGGTGATGATGAAGGCAGCTCAACCAGGTGCATGCTGCTCAATGGCTGGTATGAGTCATAGTTCATATATTTCTCAAGCAACTCGAAGGTGTATGCTATCCATGTCATAACCAGGAAAGTTGTATTGCCAAAGAAATAAAGTTGTTTATTAAAGGTGTTTATTAAAGAAAATAATGCAATTAAATAATTATTTAAAATTTTAATTGTCAGATATTTAGCAAAAAAAATCAACTCTTAGATGTTCAATATAAAAAAAATATACTCCAAACTAAATTTCGTTGAAAAT